TCAGCAGTCATCCTTGTGGGAACTACAAATGGAATTGACGGTTTCACTGTAAGAATTCAACCTACTAATACATTAATACAGTCAAATATCATGCACGAGACAGGTATCCGTAATCCTAGAGATGAACAGCTAAAGTCGGTATTTTGGCACTTTTGCAACTCAAAAAGGACGTTTTGAGAAAAGTGATGATGCCATTCAATAGTACATTCAATTCTTCCTAAGACGCTGTATTCTCACTTGACGTCATTTTCATCTCGAGAACAAGTACTCAGATGAAATAAAAGCACAATTCAGGTCAGATCCCTAATCGGGCGATTTTCTCACTGCCTTTCCGATGAGTATTTTAGGTGGATCATGATCTGCATGATAACCTTTCCAGAAGTTAGTAGATATTTTGATAGCGCGGAAAATTCTCTGCAATTTGAACAATTTTCATGTGATAAGGCCCATTTTTTTCAACATGTAATGATAGGAAAATGAACATTTCTTCGTTCGACAAATACAAAATCTACATTCTTTCGTTGTTTTCTGATCTCGAGTTTGCAAACTAGAATTTCTGTAGGAACTCGTTTTTTGAATAGAACTGTAGTACATGATTGGGGTGTGAATTGTACATTGCAACAAATCATCATAGAAAAGAAACTTTGGTTGACTGACATGTCGAAGATGCGACTGAGATCCTAACAATAGACATAACCAAAAGTCTGAAGCTTAATACGAGCAACGAACATTTGTTCGATCCTCAGGATAGATACAATCATGTGACACGAGCAAGTGTGTCATTACACATTCTCTGATCATTGCATTCCGAATAAAGAGGAGCGTACTATAACGAAATCGTTCCAGTTGTAGAGAATTTTCAGCGCTATCAAAATATCTACTTACTTCTGGAAAGGTTATTATGCAGACTATGATCCACCTGAAATACTCATCGGAAAAATAGTGAGAAAATCGACCGGCTAGACATCTGACCCAAAATATGCCTTCATTCCATTTGAGTACTTGTTCTACTTTTCTCAGAATGTTCTTTTCGAGTTTCAAAAGTGCTGAAACATCGACTGCAAATTTTGCTTTCTAGGTATATATATCAAACAATCGGCACCTGTACTGATCGCTGTCAGTCGTAGTGTGTCAGTCATCGGTAACCTAATGTTCAATATGCCAAGGGCTGCTGTCAATGTGAACGACGGTTTCTATGGTAATCATACTATTAGCTGGAATGTTATGTTCAATACTGTACGAGAGACAAGCGATCATGGACCGATTAACACATGGGATCGACAACCATTTTTAACCGATGCAAGACAACCTGGTGTTCCTTCATTATGGCAACATCGAAGCTTCATACATCACAATCTTCTCGTCAATAATTACAATTCTTTTTATCCGATTGATCACGATGATGGAAGCTGTTTCTATGAAGATAGTTATAATTTTCAAATTTATGGTGGCAAGAAAAACTATTTAGGCCATTCGAAAATGGATCACCATGAAATTTATGTGTATCCAGATACTAAACGGGTTCTAGGCACTGGAGTGTGTATTGCTGATCAGGCACCCAAGCGAGGTTCTAGTGGTTGGAATGAATCCTGGATTCAGAATACGTGTATTCTTTATTCAAGTCCGATACCATATCATATTGAGTATTGTAATACGGAAGATCTATTTGTACCTTATTTGGCCAACAATAAGATCTATATTCCACACAATAAAGATATCGAATTTCTGTGTGAGGTTGATGGGATTAGCACAACTCTTAGCTTGGAGGAATGGCAAGCTTTTGATCTTGATCTTGGCACTGTTGTCCAAACTGCACCTAATGTCGAAACCATCATTCAATGGGGACGGGATATGTTACAAGGAACAGCATGACAACAACATTGCAATGTCTCATAAATTGTATATTCACTTTTTTCTTCAAATTTTACTCAACTTTGATAAAGAACTAATTTCCATTTGAAGTTGTAGATCCTACTCAAATCGATTTCCGAGTACCATTTTTCATGTGTAAATTTCGCTAATGAGAAAATGCCTTTGCCGAGCGAAAATCTTTGAACTTAATTTCGTGCTATTCCGGTTTTTCTTGTTCCTTCTTAAAGTGGCTTAAAAGGATCTGCGAATCCAGTTTCATGACTATAGATCAGTGCACAATGACGCATAAAAACAGTCAGCCTATGTTTTTGTTCGCACTTGGTGTGCGTCATGCTAAGACAACTATTGAAATTCGAGCATGAGGAAGAAGAAATGAACTTCGTAGAATGTAGTCATTTCTCTCAGTTCATGAATAAATTTTAGGCTAACATCGACTTAATGTATATGGTCCCTATTCAAGCAATCATTGAAACACGATAAGGAATTTTGTTCGGCCAAGTATATTTTCTAAATGATCATGTGATAGCCAACAGAGAGTGGTAATATTGCAAAAATGGCCTACCATCTCGTGAAATACGGTTATTCTTTCAGGCAGACACGGGGCGAACAAAAACGCATTTATACGCGTTGAAAATTAGACAGGACGGGGGTCAGGTGTGGGTGTCAGTGTTTTATTTTGTCTTGTATCCACATGATACAACCGCAACTGCACCCGTACTCCACCCCACACCGGTACACCCACTCATACAGAGGCCAACTTTAACAAAGCACGCGGACATGTAGCTTTTTTGCTCTGAAATGGGCTTCCATTACTCAGAAGTGTTCATGTATCATTTCGATAGTAGACTTTATAAAAACAAAGCATTTTTTGAAAAAAAGAGGTGTCAGGTGAACACCTGAGGGAGACTGTCGTCCAGATTTTGGAAAAATTTTTTTATTAGAAAATGTTTTATGTCTTACACTATCCGACGCAGTTTTGCGCGTTAACTCCGTATATTACGTTCATTTTGCGCTACAATGCTATCGTAATCGAAAAAATACGGAGTTTGGAGCAAAAAACCTGAGTTTTAGAGAAATATCTAGTACCGATTGTGCTCATCCGCACCAGATGGCGCTTTGACTAACACTAGATCACACATAGACCAATAATTGGTGAAAGCTTAGGATCAATCGGATTAAAAATTTTTTGCACCGTTTGAAAAAGACGGTGCAGAAAGCAAATCAAGTCGAGTTTTTCTGTATCGACTTCGATTCGGTTCAACTCGAGTAGCAGTAATTCCACTTTAGGGTGTGGGTGGAGAGTAGGTGTGGTGGGTTTGCGTGTGTGCCTTGTCTTTAGCAACACTCACATCCACACGCACACCACTCACACCTACACCTCACACCCCACCCACATCCAATCTAATCATCCACTTCGATTATTATGTTTTCGTGTGGTAGCAGCAGATGATGAAATCGTTCAAAAAATAGAAAAAATGATCAATATCGAGGATCTGCTTTTCGATTTTATAATGCAACGTGTGACGGATAAGATCTATTTACAATGAAAATAATTCTATTATTTGTTGTATTTATTCTGGTTTGATATTGTTTGACAAAAAGTCTCATTGTTTCCTTGAGAGAATATCTGTAGTAGAAAATCTTATTATATAAAATATATCTGTTCGAATATCGTATGTCGAAGTGATTGTGAAAGTAAACAAGAACAATCAATGATTCATTGGAGATAAGCCTGACAGAGAAAAGAAAAAGAAAAGAACGTTGCCATTCCAAACGCACCCTAACTAGTTAACTATGTACATTTTCACTCACAAAATATCTCAAACATTTCTCTAAATTATTCACTGGTGTCATTTGTTTTGTTTTGTTGAAAGAATTTCGTCACAATCATTTATTTCATTCTCATTCATTGCATATTCCTTTTATTCAGATTCAGATGAATAATAAATTACAAGTTTTCGACTGAAAAATGATTTTTCTCTCTCTCTCTCTTTCTCAAATCCTTTCTCATTTTTGTTTGTTCTTCTTAGTTAATAATAAATGTAAAATATTGTCTGAATTTGATTATATTGAGAAAGAGATGAATTTCGTCTCTTCATAGTTGATGAAGATGAATTGAAGAGAAAATAAATTATTGTTGGAATATTGTATTTCATCAAAACGGATTTTTGAGAAAATAAATGAAAATAAGTTTGTGCAAAAGATATTGGCAATCGTCTTAAATTTCTTCTTTTTTGTTGTAACCAAAGAAGATTATGTGGAGAGATAGCTGTAAAGAAGAGAATCAATGATCATGTCAACTAAGAAGAGTTTTGTATTGAAATAAGTTCAGAAAAATAATCGAAAGAAGTTTCGCGCGAAAATTAAAAACAGATAAATGAATTGTTATGATTAAATCTTTACTCAGCCGTTGAATAACAACTAATTCTCCAATAACCAAACAAATAAACAATTCATTTCCATGTTTTGTCGAAGAACTTCGATGTTCAACAATTCTTCTTCTTCGTCTATCAATAATCAAGAATTGAATTGAAGACTTCTTTCACGTTGAAGTAAAACTTTTTGTTTTATGCCATTGACATTTCATCGAAAAAAGGATAAAGAAATATTCTCATGATTACATTAAATCAATTTGTTTGTTTATCACTTCTCAAAATCTTGTTTCTTCTTACGTAAATTTCTGGAATAATAAAATTTATGTCATCAGATTTAAAAAATTGTTATCAATTGGTTTTTACTGAGAATAATTTTATATACGTGATTCAAAGGATACTTCTGTAAATATAAGCGAAAATTTCGACAACATTATTGAATTTGAATGATGATGAATTTCATATTAGTTCTATTAAAAGAACGGTTCAATCCATTCTCTACGATAGATTGCGAGTTTGAATTATGAAATGAGAACTATACAAAATTATAGATCACTAATATACAACTTGGAAATGAATGTATCATTAAATTAATATCATATCTTTCTTTTAAAACAATAATTGTATAGAATTCTTTTATTACTGATGTTCATTAGAAATTGATTAAAAATAAATCATGAAAATAAGATTTGTAATCATCATAATCAAATTACAAAAAAAAATTAGTATATAATCAAAATAATTGTATTCTTTTTTTTAATTATTGTCTGTAATTTTGTGACGACGTGGATTAACTTTAGCGCTATTCAATTTAGTCAATTGTTGTCCATTTATATCGAAATTCTCTGGATTTAACCATCGCTCAAATTCTTGCTTCACTTGTGGCCATTCATCATCAACTATACTAAACCATGAATTATCTCTTGATCGTCCTTTACGAACTTCTGCTTTCAACCATGTACCTTCATATTGAAAACCAAATCTCAGCGCTGCACGTCGTGACTTCATATTTAAAGAATTACATGACCATTCTACTCGTCGGTAACCAAGCGTATCGAATGCAAACTGTAATAACAAAAAAATTGCTTCAGTGGCTTGTCGAGTTCGTACTAATTGCTGACTGAAATTCACATGTCCAATTTCAATTGTGCCATGCTCTTGATTAATTCTTAAATAAGTAATAAATCCTACTGGTATATCATTAACAAAGATAGTATATAAGACAGTATTACTACTAGGTTGTTCTTTAATATAGACAAATTGTTTAAATTCATTCACGTCTTTAAATGGTCCATATCCTAAGTATTTATAATGAGTATCCTCAGTTGGTTTAAATACATCATAAAGTTGTTGAATGACGATATCATTTGTTGAATTGAGTAACTCAAGTCGACAATATTGACCTTGAAGTATGTGATATTGTGGATTAGAAAGAGGATGAGGACGTGGTGTCCAATTTTCAACAGTATCACCCATTGGCTGATCGATCTGAATTATTGCAATTGGAACTGGTGTTACTGGTTGCGTCATTTTGGTTTTGTCGAAAGAACAGAATGAATGAGAACGACTCTTTAGTGAATGTTATTATCTATCAACACTGATACGTGATAACAGTTTCAACCAACCAAAATTCATTTTTTTGATGTTGATACTAGCCTACCATAGACGAATTCTTTTAGTAAGTGACGTCTATTATCAGATGATTTCTGTTCTTTTTCCTTTTAATATAGATGTTACATGTGTGTGTCGTACACGATCTGATTTTATTCTGACTGAAAACTGAACATCACAGATACATATGGCTGGGTGAAGAAGAGACATCTACCCACCCATCCATACTCACCATAACGATCAATTATCCATTATGGGTACTCTTTAATTACTTATTTATTCTTATAATCTCCAGAGAAATCTCTAAGCAATTCTAACTATATAATAAAGATATCTGTTTTTTTTATCCGCCTCTATTTACATAATCAATAACATCCACCTTCGGTTATTTGAGCATTGTTGCTTTGCAAAATTTTTCTGCTTGGTTTGATTTCATTGAATATTGTCACCTTATTTTCGCTCTGCATTCATAGAGGTAAAGAAAAAAAAATTATATTGTTTTTTTTTGTATTGGTCATTGAATCGATCAGAATTAGACAAAAAAATAGGCTATGTTGAATAAAAGAGTAACAAATGCATGGGCAATGTATCGTTTCATTGTTGATATAACTTATACATCAGATAAAAGCAGTACTACTTTCTATTTTAATGCTATGACTGCAATCGGACATTTGTTTCAGAAGTTCATCTAATTGTGCTGCTAGGATTTCTATCGATAGTTGATAAGTAGAGATCAGTTTATATTTAACAATGTTAAATGTATTAAAATATATTGAGATTATTCAGGTTAATTTTTTTTGAAAGCATAATCTGTAATAATAATTATAATCATAGTAAATAAACAATAATGTCATGAACTATTAACATTATAAATTCTTATCATCATAACCTAAAAACATTATGTACTAATAATAAAGACTAGAGATATCATGGAATAGTACCATTATGAACCAATTCTATAGTGAGAACAAATTTGTCTAATATCAACAAAATATATACTCAAGTGTTTTATGTTAGCTTAATGTAATGTCATATAAAGTTAACATGTATTTGAGATTAAGTCAAAAATCACTTCGATGAGGAAAAATTCATCCTTGGAATATTTTGTCGAAGTAAACAATAAACCTTCTTGGTTGTTATTTCTGTTAAACTGTTGTAGCTGGCGAATATTTAGTCTGGCTAAAATACATTTTAAAAATTAAAAGACTGATAGTCTAGTTTGAGATGATTACGTTTGGCAAGCCTTAACTTCATCCTTTTCACTGTGAAGTAAATAATAACTTTATTTTACATGTGATTCAAAAACCTATGATGGAAACTGATGTGACTAGACCATGACGATACCTTTTTTATTTGTAAATTTAAACATTTATCATTAATATAGATAGTATAACTAGCCACTATATGATAGATAATGACCTGGATGTTATAAAAAGAAAGTTGGCATATATTATCGCTTCTGATATAGTTAGCAATAAACATTGGAGGACTAGTTTCTCTTGTTGACCTACCCAGATCAATGATTCCGAAAGTTGGATCTATGGATTTTCGGCAGACGTATATCTCCGTACCTACTTTAAGCTAGCTTTTTATTTAAACTTTCACATGGGTGCATACTCTATTAGAGAAACTCCTTTTTGCATAGGAATTAGTTATGATGACAAAGTAATATGATCGAATGATTAACAATAGCGAAAGTTTTTTAAACGCTATAATTTTCTCACAGAATTGATGTATGATTGTAATAAAAATAAATGCAATGGCTATGAAGCAGTTTCTAAGGTCGAGAAATTCATGGAAAAGAAATATAACGTATATGAATTGTTAGAATCATCAGTTTTATTTCTCTATGAGATTATAACTACTTCGGTAGTTACTACTACTCAACAAAATCTAATAACAATGATGATATTCGTTATTATGCGAATAAATATATTCAATTGCACTTCAGCAGTCACCTAAACTACGAGTTTCATAAACAATTAGTACTTTTACTATTATATTCTTATAAATCTATGCTTGAAAATAAGTGGAAAAGGACACTTCGAATTCAGTTCAAAATGTCAGTTTTCCTTCGAGAAATATGAGAATCTTTTTTTCTTTTTTTGGATAACTGAAGTTTTCCGCCGATTCGTAGTCTTCTTTTTGTTTTATTTAGATCGATATAACAATTTCAGCAATAAATCAATAGACAAGTCAGTTTTCAAATTAAAGAGAAAAAGGTTTTGAACATATATCTCGAATATCTTGTATATTTTCCATCAGATTTTCATAAATTGGCTTGAGATCATAAATATCTTGAATATCCATCGGAATTTCAAGACAATCATCCATTTGAATAACATTTGATAGTTCCATTTTCATCTGAAAAACATATTCACTTGCTTCAATGATCTTTTTTTTACATTGTCTAAAGTCGTTCTCTGCTATTATTTTTGTCAACCCTATTCTATATATAATAATACTTTTTTTTTCAAAGTAATTATGTCTGACACAAACCTTCAGAAAGTAAAATGATTGATGGAATTGCAGCTTTCGTAACTACAGAACCAAATGTTTCTAGAGCCATTTCAACTTCCAAAACTACAGGCATAAATAAGAAACCGATCCAAAATATAGTAGCCAAAGCAATACTAGAAGCAGCACAAAGAAATGGCATGATATCACTTGGACTGTAGTATTCATCTGTAGCAATTTGTTGGTTAAATGTCAAAATCTTATTTTCCAGTCGTTCACATTGATCCACAATATGCTTGGGATCAACTGTAGACAGAAGTTTTTCAGCTAGTATTTTAACGTTGACAGAATTTGATGAGTCGAATTGTGTAAGAGCATATTCGAGAAATGGAATAACTTTATCACAATAGTCGCGAGTTTGATTAATTAAATCATGACATTGGGTACGTAAACTAAGAAATTCATCTCGATGTTCTGCTTTAAACGAACTGACTCGAAGAGTATTCAGTTGATTATGAAGATTAGAAATGTATGATTTAACGTAATCATGTATTTTAGCAGAAGCGAGTTCTTTAAATAAAGAATTGTATTTTGATTTACTTGTAGCCATTTGAAATCTTTTTCTTACAAAATTGTTCTGACAAGAACGTCTTTACTAAGATAAAGAATGAATTGTAGACGATATTTACATTATAGTATTGTCGATTGTTATTAATGTTCTTGGCCTTCAATTCAGTAAGAAAACAGAACAAGAAGGAAAAAAAGAAAAAAAAATGCATCTCCCTTTGCGCTCGTTATTAGATGAAAGCATCTTAGGATGTTAGAGAGTATAGCGACACAATTTTTCCTTCTTTTTCTCTTTTTTTTTTCTTTCTATTTATGGAAAGATATACGCGAAGTAGTAATAACCTCATAACGTTTACATTAAATGATGAACGATCGAATAGAAGAATCTTAAAAAGATTCGTTCATCCTATTCTGATTTTTGACTATTTCTCCAACCTAGTCATTAACTATACCCTGTCAGCTATGAAAGAAAAAGTTTTAGTGTATTTTGTTGCTTATTTCTAGTTTTTATATATAAATAAAAATCGTCTTTTAAGCACACAGAGATTTCCTACCATTTTCTCCAATTACTACAAAGTTTTATTATATATTATCAATTTTTTTAAGATAAAAACATGGAAGTTGAGAAAACTTTATAATTAAGTTCTTCATATGAACTCTAAAAATATATCTATTTAACATGCAATATAAGGTACACCAAGGGCAAAACTCGAGCAAAACAAAAAAGTTTTTTTGTTTTTTACATCATTTGACAGAGCTCATCGAGCTAATTCTGAATATGTATATTTTATTGTGTTTTGATCAAGTTTTGGGTCTGAAACCTTGAAAATACTATAAAAAATTGAAAAGGGAAATAAATCATTGTTTTGAAAGAAAGCGTGAAATTTCGTCCCTTTCCACTAAATATAGACATTCAAAAATGCTTTATTCAGATTCAGCATCTCAAATTGAATATTAAAATGTAGTCTCAAATAAATTTCAACATGGTCAGGGTGTGGGATGTTGGTGAGCATCTTCTCTACACCCATACCAACATCCACACCCGATTTTAATCTATAAAAAAAAATAATTGATCTATTAAAAGCGATCAATAACTTTTAATTGATTTAAATTGATTTGAAAAAAATCAGAAAAATCTGCGTTTGTGACTAAATAAGATCGATTTTAATCTGATTTCTTGCCAAAATATTTTACATGGGTATACTTTTGTTTTTTGGATTTGAGTGAAGAGAAAAGCCACAAATAGCCAATCATGGATTAATAAAACTAGTTTAATCAAAGTTTGATGAGCGAATCATTTGATTTTTATCCAATCTCAGTTTGCATATTGAACGTTGGCAATAAGCGATGTAACATACTACTCAGTCATTACATGATAATCTTACATTAATTATTAATTTTGTTCAGATTTGTTTCTCGTAATATTCATAATGAAGCAAGAAAACTAATTTTCATTTTTACTTCATCATATAATCATCTATTCTGCTAATAATTGATAAATAAATAATACATGATGACTATTATCTGTTTAGTTCAGTACTGAATCTGATATCGAGACGAGAAATATCAATACTCGATTTAATGAAGTATCCAATGTCTAAGAAAATGAAAATAAAAGAAACATCAATTTTCCAATTGAATATTTTAGTCGAATAGAAACCTTAGCCTTTGCAAAAGGACAAGATCATACAATATTTGTTTGAGTATGGTTTTCAAGTATTTATTTCTTTAAGAGATAATTCTTCGTCGTTTATTAAGACAATTCAATGGATGTAATTTTTTTTTTGTAATTATAATTCGAATAATAATGAAGAAAGTTTCGATTTAGAACGAAATGATTATTTCTCATTAAGATCTATTCGAATCATTATGTTGAGCAAAATTGACAAAGGTAATCTATTGAATATTTTCTATTATAAATATTCCAATGATATAGGACTAGTTTTGCGATAAATCATTCTTTGTAATAGTTAAATGATTTTCAAGTGAGTTCTATAATAAATTTCTTGAATTAATTTTCATTATTCTACTATG